GACGGTGTATCGCGTCCCGACCCGGCAGGCTGGTTCTGGTCCAGCGGGGTATTCCGGGACACCAGCGGCACCGTCTGGGCGGCCCGACGGGCTGCCGTACCGAGACGGCCGACGTTTCAGAGCCTTCGATTCGCCTCGAAGGCTCCGTCGGCTGGGCGTCCTTGGGGTGAGCCGCGCCGTCTGGTTGTAGTGTTGACCGCGGTAGCCCCCCTACCTCATCCGGGTTCTGACCTCGGAGGGGATCGGACGTCGGGTGTAAGAGTGCAGGGGAGTCGTTTAGTGGGTGGGTCCTAAAATCCTTGGGCCCGCGATCTGCTCACAACACCATGCAGATCGTTGAGTCTCTCATACCCCGCGCGCCCCTTTTGCGCGGGGACCTCGTAGGAGGTTCGGCCCTCTAACCGAAAAAAAAAAAAAAAAGGTAGTATGGGTCTGCTCCGATGGCGAGTGGAGTCACTGTTAATTGGAGAACGCTCCTCAAGAACAAGCGGTACAAAACAACATTAGGCCGAAGTCCTCCCGTAGACCCAGAGGTTCCAAACGATCCGTGTAAACGGCATCAATCGGCAAAACGGAATCAACAGTACGAACGTCCTAAGCCTAGAATTTATGCGGTCTTAATTTTTTTTCCTCTATTGAAGGAAGCTATCCGCGAGGCTTGCTTAGATGGATGGACGAGCTCACAGCCCACCTGGTGTTAAGTGGTTACTGGAGCCCATAGACATCTACACGTAAATGCGCCACCCACCTCGAGATATAAGTTCTAAGGTCTCAGTATAGTTACAACGGCTAACCCACCCTTCGAACCGAAACGCATTACTGCTTCACGGCGGCAATAGGCGGGGTGGTGATACCTACCCGTGCGGACTCCCAAGAGGTCCTACCACCAGTGAGGTTTAACCAGTTTTAAGTATTCTTTAGAGGAAACTAGCTGTACCCATCCGCTTTGCTGGGCATTTAAAATTAACATTATTGTTTGTCACCCCCACAAAGATTCTCGTCACTAACGCCCCCGCAACTGGTGTAGGGAGCCCAACTCTCATATAAATATTAGCCTATCCATTAAGTACATGTAACCACTTAACACCAGGTGGGCTGTGAGCTCGTCCATCCATCTAAGCAATAAAAAAAAAAAATAAAAAAAAATTTTTTTTTTTCATCGATACCAAGTTTCAAGTCAATCGGATGCATGGTTCAGTAGTTATAACGGAACATCCGGAAAAACCACTGTAGATTTATATATTAGTATAGATGATCCCAGCCCAAATATTGAAATGTCATTTCAATATTTCCGAGCGTTTTATTTGTGACACCCAATAAAACTGTGCGAATGTTCTACTATATATAATTAAAAACATAGCCATGGTTAATAGTTTCTACAGCAACGCCGGCGAAGCGAATTTCAACTCATTAATTAGTTGGTTAATTGAGGACCCGATCCGCTGTCGATGCAACAAAATACGTGGCGCTGGAAATAATTAGATAATTAAATTAAGTCCCAGCCAAGCGTGTTTGTAAATATACTCGCGATAAACACGTAACTTACCTACCTAAGCTGGTAACTTAAGTGGTTATGCCAGTGTAAGCGGGCAAGTAGGTGAGCTCACGATGCTCTAACCAGGGGACGTTGCTAACACTAGCCCTAGCAAAAGCAGTGCTTCGCAAAGTCTACCATCGGATCGGAAACGTGACCCATTGCGAAGATCCGGCGAGAAACTCAGCAGGCTACGTCTGTGGGTTAATTTGATCGCCGAACCCTTCGTTCCAAGCAATGGGCTCCACGAGAACTGTGACCGATGCTTGGGGTACCTAAAAGCACCGAAAGTAAATCGGGAGGATCCGAAATTACGTGTTTGTGCCTTACGACGCATGTTAACCAGGGATTGAAGTTCAGAAACACTTCGTATGTTCGAATACAGTGTAATTCCTGGTAATAATGAAATTAACTATTCTTTCCAGGTGGTAGGCTGGGGCTTCGATGAGACAGGAGTGGCGACAGAAGAGCTCAGCCTAGTGGAGATGCCCGTGGTTGACACTGAAACCTGTATCAGGTCTTACAGCGAATTCTTCGTCAGATTTACATCGGAGTACACTTACTGCGCCGGATATAGAGATGGTAGTAGGTTTTGTATATTTTATTTAAGATGAAGTGACATGTCGTACGGTACATTTAACCAACTGCATTGAAAAGAAGGAGCTCTTCGTTTCGGTGCGTACTATAATTTGTTCAAATACATTCTCGCAGCTTTACTCGAAGTCAGCGGATGAGATCATGGTCTACTTAGTTTTAAATAGTTACCATTAAAACTTAAGATACAAGGTTGAAATTTCAACTGGATTGTATTACGGCTGCCCGACGTATGACGGTCTCCTGGTGGAATTAAGCAAATTAGTGACACCTATCCACGAGAGCATCCCATACACCCAATTCAAATACTGCAGTTTTCTAACAACTATGTACCAAACACTTGTTCACAAGCGAAGTGATCATTAAACTAAAGTTAATGGTCAACGCGGGCAACATACTCCTGTCAAGCGACTCTTTAAGCACTTTTACCTGAACTCTGCAATGTCTCGACTTTCCAGGAACATCAGTCTGTAACGGCGACAGTGGTGGCGGAATGGTCTTCAAGTTTGGCGAGAGCTGGTACCTCAGGGGCCTGGTGTCGCTCTCCGTGGCCAGGCAGAACGAATGCAGATGTGACCCCAGCCATTACGTAGTGTTCAGCGACTTGGCTAAATTCCTACCTTGGCTTCAAGAAAATCTCTTTGACTATTAACTTCTGTTCGCTTTAGCGATTTTTAAGAATAAAACGAAAATGAAAATTGACCTTTTGTTTTTACCAATCATATTGGATTTTACCGGGACTTGGATACATCATTTCGCCCCCCTTCAGACATGAGGTCGAACTCAATTGGACTGAAATAACTACTGTGCTGGCCTTCGCACCTCTTTTCTAATTTCATAGATAGGTGAACATCCTCACAGCATGCCTGCAATTTAGTAATTCCCAATATATATAGAGGTTACAATGTGTGAGTAACCACCCACTTTGGGAGATAAGGACCATGTTTCAATAGCATAGGAAAATCGCTATTCCTCCCTTAAGTATCCTAACAGATCGACCAACGAGACAGTATTTCGAGTGATCCACCATTCTGATCACTCAATTCCTTTTCAAGGCACTGAAGAAATAGTTATGAGTAAATATTCTTTTTACATCTGCTAGTTTTATTCTGGTTACGTCCAAATGTATCAAATGTATTGAGATCTCAAACTTGACAGATTTGACATTTCGTTTTTTACTGTCCATGGGCATCATCTGATTAGATCGATGGTGTACAATAATGCAACTTAATTTACAGTCAACCATTAATATAAAAATTAAAATGTGAATCACATACTAAGCTGTCAAAAAAGTACCGGGAAAATATCAATAATACACAAAATGTTAGTTATTCATTCAAATTTAATTTATCATTTTCAAAGTATGCTCCTTCAGAAACGAGACACTTACCTTACGCCAACAAATAATCCCATCATCACAATATTTTATAAATAACTTCTCCGGAATTGAGTTCAGTTCTCGCTCCGGAATTTACTTTGTCTTGTACAGAATGAAAACCGGTGCCATGAAGTGGTAATTTGAGTTAAAGAAAAAGAAAGAATTTGGCAGCTATATCTGGTACATACGGTGGTTTCTCGAGGGTTATTGTTGAGTTTTTGGTCAAAAATTCGTTCAAAATGATGGCCTTATGCGAAGGCGCATTATCGTGGTAAAAAACCAAGAATTTTCTATCAACAATTCTGGCCTTTTTCGCTCAATTTGCTTTCTTAAATTCTTTCTAACGCTCAAATAATATTCCTTATTTGCGGTTTGACTATCTGGCAAAAATCTGGAGTGCACTACACCGCGATATTCAAAGAAAACAAGCAACAAGGGTTTTGACTTTTGATCGATTTGACGTGGTTTTTACAGTTCAGTTGGAAAAACACCACTCCTATTCTTGTTGACTATTTTGCATTATAAGCTCATAAAAC